GTGACGTATGATACCTTTATTACAGAGTACTGGGTTAAGGTGAGCAGGTTATTACTAGGACGTGTGATACCTTTATTACAGAGTACGAGGTTAAGGTGAGGAGGGTATAATTGTGACGTGTGATACCTTTATTACAGAGTACGAGGTTAAGGGGAGGAGGCTATAATTGTGACGTATGATACCTTTATTACAGGGTACGGGGTTAAGGTGAGGAGGTTATAATTGTGACGCTTGATACCTTTATTACAGAGTACGGGGTTAAGGGGAGGAGGTTATTACTAGGACGTGTGATACCTTTTAAACAGAATACAGAGTACGAGGTTAAGGTGAGGAGGTTATAATTGTGACGTATGATACCTTTATTACAGAGTACGGGGTTAAGGTGAGGAGGTTATTACTAGGACGTGTGATACCTTTTAAACAGAATACAAGGTTAAGGTGAGAAGGTTATAATTGTGACCTGTGATACCTTTATTACAGAGTACGAGGTTAAGGTGAGGAGGTTATAATTGCGACGTGTGATACCTTTATTACAGAGTACGGGGTTAAGGTGAGGAGGTTATAATTGTGACGTGTGATACCTTTATTACAGAGTACGGGGTTATGATGAGGAGGTTATAATTGTGACGTGTTATACCTTTATTACAGAATACAAGGTTAAGGTGAGAAGGTTATAACTGTGACGTATGATACCTTTGTTACAGAGTACGGGGTTAAGGTGAGGAGGTTATAACTGTGACATGTAATACCTTTATTACAGAGTACGGGGTTAAGGTCAGGAGGTTATAACTGTGACGTGTGATACCTTTATTACAGAGTACGGGGTTAAGGTGAGAAGGTTATAACTGTGACGTGTGATACCTTTGTTACAGAGTACGGGATTAAGGTGAGGAGGTTATAACTGTGACGTGTGATACCTTTATTACAGAGTACGGGATTAAGGTGAGGAGGTTATAACTGTGACGTGTGATACCTTTATTACAGAGTACGGGATTAAGGTGAGGAGGTTATAACTGTGACGTGTGATACCTTTATTACAGAATACAGGGCTAAGGTGAGGAGGTTATAACTGTGACGTGTGATACCTTTGTTACAGAGTACGGGGTTAAGGTGAGGAGGGTATAACTGTGACGTGTGATACCCTTATTACAGAGTACGGGGTTAAGGTGAGGTGGTTATAACTGTGACGCGTGATACCTTTATTACAGAGTCCGGGGTTAAGGTGGGGAGGTTATAACTGTGACGTGGGATACCTTTATTACAGAATACAGGGTTAAGGTGAGGAGGTTATAAGTGTGACGTGTGATACCTTTATTACAGAGTACGGGGTTAAGGTGAGGAGGTTATAATTGTGACGTTTGATACCTTTATTACAGAGTGTAGGGTTTAGGCATAGAGGTTGTTAAGGTATCCCTTTATTACAGAGTCCAGGCTAATCTGAGGAACATAATACTTTTTCGGTTGATATTTTACCACCTACTGCGTTGTTAAGGTAAGCGGTCTATAATTGACATTCTATATGTTGACCATATTTACGTATTAAGCATGTTTGCTTACGTTATCAGACAAACTAATCAATTATTTGGAGCTGCATGCCATGTATTTGCACCGTTTACGCAATACCATGGACATATATCGAATTATTGATTACATATCGTCGAGATTGCATTGATATTTTACTTCCTGGTGCGGTGACGTATGGTTGAAGTTAAATGCTGATGTATAAGTATACTGATAAAATGTTCACCTCTAACAAAGCTCGAACATTATAAACCACTTTGGTTATTATTTCAAAATCAATATATGGCACTGCATGTCATCCGATTTATGTCATCGGTATTACATAGCTGTACTATTGGCTTTCTTCTAGCTTATGTCTCAGCTTTAATATCCGTGCTGGTGGTGGGTGGGGAGGGGGGGGGCAGAGGGTCAGGTATAACGTATTTAATAACAACTCACCTAACGAAGACGACAACATTAGGTAAGCCGTCCAGGGGCTATTACGTCGTAGTGTAACAGTCTGTACAACCCGACCATGCTAAGGAGAATAGCTGTACTCGCATCAGGTACAAATTATATTGACTGTATATTGATTTTGCTTAAAAATTATATCTTTTACTTAACTAATTTAAGCCTTTCAGATTTAATTTTATTCTCTAGAGATCTCAACTTGTAAAATATTATTCCCGTTAAACATATAACATGCGAGATATTATTGACAATAATAAATCATATATTACATATATGATGTTATTTAGTTTTAAGTTATCATGTAGGTTATTATATAACATATCATATGACGTTTGATTGTTGAGGTTATATATATAATATATAAAATATCGTATACAAGTTGATATTTATATAAGTCTTGATATAACATGATATAACGTATTAAGGTAAAATATATTATATCAGGTTTGTAAAGATAAAATATAAGTCACTATTTAAGGTTTAATATAAATTGTACTTATATATATCATACATTATTTATGTATCATATAAGGGGTTTATCGGGAATTATATAAGGTTGTACACGATTTTTTTTTATATTATGTTAGTTTTCGAATAAGTACAACGTTCATTACATAGCTCATGAAAATATAGTGCAGTAAATTTAAATATTAGATATCATAATGTACAGTAACCTTAATTTAAATATTAGATATCATAATGTACAGTAACTTTAAATTAAATATTAGATATCATAATGTACAGTAACCTTAATTTAAATATTAGATATCATAATGTACAATAACTTTAATTTAGATATGAGATATCATAATGTACAGTAACTTTAATTTAGATATTAGATATCATAATGTACATTAACTTTAATTTCGCAAATCTTTTGAATCACAATTACCAAAATGTGTTTTCGCAAAAGATTTGTTACTTGCGAGTTCTCGTTACTCGTTACTTCGTGTTATGATTCAGTAACTAGTACTGTGGACAGAATCAATAGTCCATTCAATATATGATAATTATATGTATATCAATACAATAACTCTATAGGGAGTACTATACGTCTATATATAGTGTATGAAATAACACTTAATTCTATCAATAATACATATAACTCATGAAATAATTATATAAATATAAACTCGATATTTGGTAATATAATATATACAAAATAAAAAATCAATGCTTATGGCATTACGTAGTATACAACTCCATACGTATGGCATTACGTAGTATACAACTCCATACTTATGGCATTATGTAGCATACAACTCCATACTTATGGCATTATGTAGTATACAACTACATACTTATGGCATTATGTAGCATACAACTCCATACTTATGGCAGTATGTAGTAAACGACTCCATACTTTTGGCATTATGTAGTATACAACTCCATCCTTATGGCATTATGTAGTATACGACTCCATCCTTATGGCATTATGTAGTATACGACTCCATACTTATGGCATTATGGAGTCGTTTACTACATAATGCCATAAGTATGGCATTATGTAGTATACAACTCCATCCTTATGGCATTATGTAGTATACAACTACATACTTATGGCATTATGTAGTATCCAACTCCATACTTATGGCATTATGTCGTATACACCTCCATATTTATGGCATTATGTAGTATGCAACTCCATACGTATGGCATTACGTAGTATACAAATCCATACTTATGGCATTATGTAGCATACAACTCCATACTTATGGCAGTATGTAGTAAACGACTCCATACTTTTGGCATTATGTAGTATACAACTCCATCCTTATGGCATTATGTAGTATACAACTACATACTTATGGCATTATGTAGTATACTACTCCATACTTATGGCATTATGTATTATACAACTCCATACTTATGGCATGACGTAGTATACAACTCCATATTTATGGCATTATGTAGTATACAACTCCATACGTATGGCATTACGTAGTATACGACTCCATCCTTATGGCATTATGTAGTATACAACTCCATATTTATGGCATTATGTAGTATGCAACTCCATACGTATGGCATTACGTATGGAGTTGTATACTACGTAATCCCATAAGTATGGAGTTGTATACTACATAATGCCAAAAGTTTGGAGTCGTTTACTACATAATGCCATAAGTATGGCATTATGTAGTATACAACTCCATACTTATGGCATTATGTAGTAAACGACTCCATACTTTTGGCATTATGTAGTATACAACTCCATACTTACTTTACGATGTTTGAAATAATTTACGAAAACGTGGTATTGCTAATCATGGGTAAAATCCAGTCACCTACATATTACCGTTAATATAGAAAACCTTATCGATACCCAAGACTTCCTTGTACATATTTACACAGATAATTCACTGTCGATAACGGCAAACTGACAAAGGATCATCTCATGTCTGACATAACGATTTTTTCATAACATTTTTGATTTCTCCGTTTCAACATAAATGTTGTAGTGGACTGAAACAAATTTGTTCGGAAAATTGGTAGAAAATGATTTATCTACCTCTTCTGCTATGGGAGCAGCCTTATTCTTACATCAAGGTATTGAAACATAAATGACCTGTTATTAAAGTCATCGCTCCGAATTTTAAAAAAAAACTGGAAAAAAACAAATACCGTTGAGTATTTCCCTTCAACAATTTCGACATTTCCATGACTTCATTTCTGGGAAGGTGACAAATGATTTAAACAAGATGAAGGTGACTTAGGTATGTTTAATTCGAGGATGGAAAACTCACAGAAAAAGAAAAAGGAAGATGTGATAGAAATGTTTGAACATGTAAGCTCTACCATGTCATTGACACACTCGTCACCATTTCGTAGACGACTACCGCCTCGTCGGACTGGAAGGACGTGTTAACTGGGAGATCACACACTGAAACATAAGTCACAGATCAAGTATAAACAAGGTTTTCAAACTCCTATGTGGAATTGCCATGCTGCTTGAGAATATTATTCGGCTTGAATAACTTTAAACAGTGATCAGAAGAGATGTTAAATGCGACGGTTCGTGCAGATGGAGAAATCAAGAGGAGAGACACTAGAAAAGTTTTACTTTATTTATCGATAGCTAGCGTATACAGTGAATGACAGGAGACAAGGAGGTATCGATAGCTAGCGTATACAGTGAATGACAGGAGACAAGGAGGTATCGATAGCTAGCGTATACAGTGAATGACAGGAGACAAGGAGGTATCGATAGC